GATAGGTTTTAGTTCTTCCATTACATTTTTTTTAAATGAGTTTTTCTCTTCCCCTTAAATGACTTAGTCACACAATAATTTAACATATAAATAGATAAAATTATCAGCACCATTAAATTTTTTTTAAAAAAATGAGGTTTTTCTCTTCCCCTTAAATGACTTAGTCACACAATGCACTTAGCTGCAATAGAAGCTGGGAAATAGATACTTTATTCTAGGTGGCAGTGGGCCTAGCTAAAAATTGCTTAATGCTACTACTACGGGAAAGCAGGAAAGCACGTTAAGAGAGGTTAAGTATATGTCTTTGCTACAACCCCGGTTCTTTCTCTTTAGCCCTCTCTTCATTCAAACTCCCAGATTTTCCAAATCAAAAGGGTTTTATCACTCATGAAGGCATCACTCCTATAAACTGGCAGAGAAAACGAGAAATTCCAAAGTCTCCATTACCATCATTACTTTGGTCTTGGTCATATGATGACATGCTGCTCAACATGCTGCACCTCCTTGCTGGAGCCATGAGGAGGTTGCTCTCCAGGTCCATACTCCCAGGTCAGCAACATTTCCCAAGGCTGAGCACCCCACCAGCATGGCTGGATCCTGGTGGGTGTCAGCCCCAATTCCACGCTTCTCCAGAGCCAGGCTCCCCCTGTATGATCTCTGGCCGGTGGCCAGACCACCTCTTCTTCCTGTTGAGTTCCCTTTGGGCCCTTGTTGTCCTGTTTGGTCAGCTTTTTATATTAGGGTTAGCACTGCAAGAAGCAAATTTCCTTCACGCCTTTCCAACTGCAGTGAATCTATGTGGCCATTAAGTAGATAGCAAAGCTTTCTTTAATGACCTGGAGGTTCTAAGATACTAGAGAGTAGGAATTGCAAATTCTTCTGTTTAGAAATAACTTGTGCAACTGAAAACTATTTAAGACAACACATAATTGACCTCAACTTGCTACTATGTTTTGTGATTTGCAGGCCTTCTTTATAAAAGAAAGGAATGAAAAATGATTGCTAAAACTTTGTTTTAAAAGGTTCACATCTTTCCTTTGAGCTTCTATACATTTTTATAATGATAATAGCTTTTGATTATGATGACAAAGGAGAAATATTTTAATGCAGTCGAAGCTCAGACAAATATCTGGGTGAATGAAAAGGGAAAGTTGGCAGGCAACATAGAATGGCACCATCACTTGTCTAGAGCAATGAGGGAAAGCAAATTTTTAGTCTTTCAATTAACTTTTTAAGGTAATTGAACAACGCAACTAAGGAGAAAGATGAACATCTAATCTTTAGGATCTTGCTTAATCTTGTTTCAATATTGTTTAATTCCAGAGTTAGTCATTAATGCAAGCAAACGGGTCATTCCTAGAGTGACAAGCTTTCTTGAGCACTGCCATATACCAGGCACCATTTTTTAAATGGACACTACAAGAACCTTATTTTCCAGGATCTCACAGCAAGGCAGGAGAAAGGCACATTATCATGTGTTAAGTGCCACGAGAGACAGCTATACCCATGGCATTATAGGAACATGAGCACCTAACACAGTCTGGGAGGTGGGTCAAAAAGGGAGGAGGGAGGTTAGGAAAAGTCTATGAGAAGCAGATAATTGATGGAAAAGCTGCACCATTCAAAACCTGTCAATAAAGAAAGTTATATTACTTTAACTCAGTATGGTCACAGGAGCCAGTCTCTAACATTTATTAAACCAACTACTTTGCAGGAAAGCAAGTTCTTCACATAACAGGCTTCTGCATTTTAGGAGGGTTGACTCTTCAGTGGTGCCACAGCAAATGAGAGTGAGTCCTCAGTTTCACATGTGGATTGTTCTTATTTGATACCTAACAGCAGCCCTCAGTGACTATACACTTACAATCCATTGGAGAGCGGTGCTCTGTTTTTTGAAAATTACGTCATATTTTTAGAAGTGATTGCAATGAGCCCAGCTGGTGTGGCTCAATGGTTGAGTGTTGACCTATGAACCAGGAGGTCATGGTTTGATTTCCGATCAGGGCACATGCCCAGGTTATGGGCTCGATCCCCAGTATGAGGCTGTGCCAGTCAATGATTTTCTCTCATCACTGATGTTTCTCTTTCTCACTCTCCATTCCTCTCTGAAATCAATATAGAGAAGCAAAAATATAGAGAAGCTTAAAAAAAAACACCCCACAAGGCTTCTCAAGTTCCTTTATTTAAAAAAAGAAGAAAAAAGAGAAATGCTTGCAATGAACATGTTTTCTTCTTTACAAGTGTCTTATCTAACAGTACTGCTACCTTTAAAATGTCACAACAGAGCATGTGGCTTGCAAGTATCCTCTTACGTCAAGAACCTCTTAACTATATTGGGCACAGCCCAAGCACAACTGGCACTTCTAGATGCTATTGGCACAGGCTGTCTAAATTCACTGAATTAACTGCAGTTTCTATAAAGGTTTTTACTTCATTGATTGACCTCATTGTTTATTTTCCAAAAGTAAGAGTTGAGTGGGACCTTTGAACATATCTGTGCTTTTGGGTTGGTCTTATCGTAATCAATACTTCCTGCTTAAAATCTATGTTTGAATAACAAAACATATCCCCTTGTGTCACCTTGAAAAGGCAATGCTTCCAGCCTATGATCTAAACATTCTTGGCATGAGCTCCCCTAGCTCTGCCTGTCCCATTCGTTTTGTGGAGTCACTAAGAGCTCCTCTTGCAGGCAAAGACTACTACTCCCCCAGGAAAGATGGAAACAGCATGTGTTGTTCCCTGTGACCGATCCCTGAGCCAGTCCTTCTGACTGAAGACAAATAGATTAATATTGGTGTGACCCAGTAGTCAGCTGAGGTCTCGAAGCCTTTTTGATATTTAAAGAAAATTGGCTTGACCTTTCTAAGTCATAGTCATTGGGAAGTTCCATGCCCTCACCAGAATTTCAGGGAATTGCCCAGGGTAATTCCTTGGGCAATTACCTGTGACTCCAAGTTACTGCTCTGTTGAACTCTCCCTCATAGCCCATCTCCACAGCTCTCTTGTCATCTCTATTCTGTGCCAACCTGGGTGACTTCATTGATTTCCACTCAAAATACCTATGCAGGGCATTTATGTATGACAGACTCGACTGAAACTTTTGTGCCATGGGGGGGATTTACAGTGCAGAAATGCAAGCGGGTGAATATGGATCATTAGGCACCTTTGTTGTTACAGGTCCTTCAGCCACCCTGCCATCAGAAATTCCTCACTTTCCAGACTACAGCTTTGTGTCATGTAGCTTAGTCCCCCGTCTTTCTCAGGAATTCCACCATCTCTATCCTTCCCTGTCTTCCAGGCTGCCTCCTCTCAGCTTCTCTCCCTTAGTTCCCCTCCTTTTATTATGCAGAAGAGCTGAGCTCCTGAGCTAGTCTACTGAGTAACTAAAGAAGAAAGGAACCTTTTGAAAGGATACTGGCAGCTCACAGAACTAATGCTGGAGGGGAGTGAATGAAAAGCACCTGTAATTTTCAGTGGACTAGCATGCCTGGAGAACCCATACCACAAAATGAAAAGAAGCCTTTGAAACCAAAGAGGCACAGTTGTACTGAGAATACTTTATAAAATTCGCTTACATAAACAACAGAAATGCTATTCATCATTCATTGAGTAATTTTCTAAAATTTAGAATCTAAATGAAGTAATCAATTAATTAATCAATCAGATATTGAGCCTTACTATGTGCCAAACACTGTTGATTGGGACTACAGCTATGAACTCAGACAAAGTCACTGCCATCATGCAATTGAGTAATTTAGAGCACAGGCTCTGGAACCTGACAATGTGGGTGCAAATTTTGGCTCCATCTCTGATCAGCATGTGCTCAGAATAAGTGAAAGCTGCTCCAGTTTTCTTGTAAAACAGGAATCCTGTCTGTTAAAGATGTTATGAGGATTACATTAGTTGATACACGAAAAGTTCATAGAAGGGTACTGTATTAGTTACCAATTGCTGCAAAACATGTATTGCTGCTACATAACATGTTTTAAGCTGTTGTAGCTTAAAACAACATCCATTTATTATATCACTAGAGGCCTGGTGCACAAAAATTTGTGCACTCGCGGGGGGAGGGGTCCCTCAGCCTGGCCTGTGCCCTCTCGCAGTCTGGGACCCCTTGGGGAATGTCCACCTGCTGGCTTAGGCCCACTTCCCAGGGGATCGGGCCTAAGCTGGCAGTCAGACATCCCTCTAGCAGCCCAGGAGACCTCGGGGGATGTCCACTTGCCAGAGGGGAGCAGGCCTAAGCTGCAGTTGGACATCCTTAGTGCTGCTGAGGAGGCGGGAGAGGCTCTTGCCACCACCACTGTGCTGGCAGCTGGCAGCCTGGCTTGGCTGAGCAGAGCTACCCCTGTGGGAGCGCACTGACCACCAGGGGGCAGCTCTTGCATTGAGCGTCTGCCCCCTGGTGGTCAGTGTGTGTCATAGTGACCAGCCATCCCCAGTCGTTCTGCTGTTAGGGTCAATTTGCATATTGCCCTTTTATTATATAGGATAATTTCCATGGGCCAGGGATCCAGGCAGAGCTTGACTAAGTCTCTGCTTTAGGGCCTTTCACAAGGCTGCAACCAAGATGCTGGCCACTGAAGGCTCATCTGAGAAAGGATCTACTTGCAAGTTAATACAGTGGTAGTTGGCAGGATTCAGATCTTTGGGGGATTTGAAACTAAGAGCTTCATTTTTTTTTTCAGCTGGCTGTTTCTGGCCTGGGCATCTCCAGCATGGCACTAGGCTTCATCAAAGCCAGCAAGAGAGAAAGACTGTTGCCGAAACTGGTTTGGCTCAGTGGATAGAGCGTCGGCTTGCGGACTGAAAGGTCCCAGGTTCGATTCCGGTCAAGGGCATGTACCTGGGTTGCGGGCACATCCCCAGTATGAGATGTGCAGGAGGCAGCTGATCGATGTTTCTCTCTCATCGATGTTTCTAACTCTCTATCTCTCTCCCTTCCTCTCTGTAAAAAATCAATAACATATATTTTAAAAAAAAAAAGAGAGAAAGACTGCTATTAAGATGGAAGTCAGGATCTTTTGGAGTCTAACCCAGAAGTCTCATCCCCTCAACTTTGAGGTATTCTATTACGGAGAAACAAGTTACTGAATGTGAAGAGATCACATAAGGCTATGAATCCTAAGAGCCAAAGATCACTTGGGGTCATCTTAGAATCTACCTACCACAGAGACCTCGTACAGAATAAGTACCAATACATGCTAGCTTTTGTTATTTATGTCACTTATTGTCCATTGAGGAGTTGTTGAATTGTGACATGGAAGAGGAAATAGAAGGCAGTGTGGAAGCATAGAATGTGGGATAAAAATTCAAGCAAGGACTTCTTGAGTAAGTGATATTTAAGGTAAGATGCAAAGGATGAGTTAGGAGACCTTAAGCAGAATGAGGAGAAAGACCCCTCAGGCAGTTGGGAGAGCAAGTATGAAGACCTTAGGCAGGACAGTGAGTGTGGTATATTTGAAGCACTTGGAGGGGACTGGTTTTGCTAGAGCATGAAGAGATTGCAGATGTAGAAGGATCAGGTGGCTGAAAGTCACTGCAAGCCAGAGAAGGATTTGGGATCTTATCCTGAGGAAATGCAAAGCTGTTGAATTTTCTGCAGGGGAATTACATGATCACATTTGAAAATATCACTTCAGTTACACTGTGTGGAAAATGGATGGCAGGGAAGCAGTAGTGGACACAGGGGGGCCATTTAGGAGGATTTTGCACTGTTCCAGGTGAGAGGTGGTGATGTCTTGAACCACAACGATAGGATGGGGGGGAGGCGGGGGTATTACAGATGTAATAACAGGATGTGGTGATTAAGCAGATGTGGCTATGCAAATGCAGGGTGGTGAGAAAGAGGTAAATGATGACACAGATTTAGCCTTAAAGGAGCTGGGTTGTTTACTATCAAAGCGACTTATAGGAGGAACATATTTGAGGGGAAAGGATGACTTTCATCTTGGAAATAATGAGTTTAAGGAGCCTGTGAGACATTTAAGAGTGTATGAGCTCATCTGCCGGATGCAGTTTTGAGGATCGAAGAGAGTCTAGGATAGCTCCCAAGTATTTTAATCTTCAAGAGTTGGGTAGAAGACCTTCCACTAGGAAAGGAGACTGAGAAGAAATAACCAGGACATTTGAAGAAAACAAAAACCAATGGGAAAAGAGCATTTTTAGTAGGAATGATTAGTCAACTGCGTGGACTACTTCTGAAAGGTCAAGTACTGGCAAATGTCCAAAAAAACTTAGTGACTCCATGTTATTTATGACTTTGGCCAACCCACTTTGGTCGAGGGTAAACAGGGAAGCCTGCTTGGATTGAGTTGAGGGGGAAATGGGAAGCAACATGATAGGGGCAGCAGGTGTAGATACATATAATATAGCTGAGAATTTTGCCTGTGAAGAAGTGGAGAGGAATATGGCATTACCTGGAGGGGAAGGAATGTAGACTAAATTAAAAATTGTGTTTGTTGTATTTGTTTTAAATAGGAAAGTTTGAGTACCATTAGTGGTAGATATTGGCTGGCATGCTAGCTTTTGTTATTTATGTCACTTATTGTCCATTGAGGAGTTGTTGAATTGTGACATGGAAGAGGAAATAGAAGGCAGTGTGGAAGCATAGAATGTGGGATAAAAATTCAAGCAAGGACTTCTTGAGTAAGTGATATTTAAGGTAAGATGCAAAGGATGAGTTAGGAGACCTTAAGCAGCTATGGAAGGTTGAGTACAGGTGAGTGGGGAGAACTGAACAGGTTGTATCTGTAATCAAAAGCAATAGTAGAGGGGCTGGGTTTAGAAGGAGGGCTGTTCCATTTTAACAAATTAAAGGAGGAAAGATTATGGACTTCATCCAGGTAGATTTGAAGATTTGGTGTCGGAATATTGAGTGCATTCTGACGGAATGGCTTCTATTGCCTTTTTGACAAACTCTTTCCCTTCAAATATTTAGTAGCCAAGTACTCTAAATCCTCACTACTCTAAGTTTGGTCTTTAGACCAGCAATATCAGCATTAGCTGTGAGTTTATTAGAAAAGCAGATATTGGACCCCCTCCAGACATACCTTATGAGAATTGATATTTAACAAGGTCCACAAGTAATTCCTGTGTACATTACAGTTTGAGAAACAGCATACAAATTGACTTCCTATTGGTAGTATGAGTTGAGAAACTGCTAAATTATCAGAGCTATAATCTAGAGCAGATAGGTATATTTTGATGACCATGGGTTATTGTCCCACTGTTCTTTCTTTTCTTTTTGAAAAAACATTTGTTTTTTGCTAGAGAATCCCTGTGAATTGCTATAAGAAGCAACTAGAATAAGTACAAAGCAAAATATCACAATACTTTTCATCTTTGTATTTTACTCTGTTGTCAGTATTATTTTTTATTCAACAAATATCTATTGAGTACCTACTATATGCTAGGCATTCTCTTGGTTCTGGGGTTATAGTCGTTAACAAGAAGAAGTCCTTGCCTTTGGGACTTCATTTTCCTCATTTAGCTCACTTTTACACCTGCCATTATAATAGTTCCTGGTATACATCCTCAACTCTCTTGTCCTCTTACTTCATCTTATTCATCTTATTCAATATTCATTAATTCATTCATCCTTTTATCCAGTTAATAAACAATTATTTATCATCTACTATGTGCCAGGCACCGTTTTAGGCATTTGAGATTATCAGTTTTATCAAAATAGATAAAGATCTCTGCCCTCATGGAGCTTATATTTAAGTTTATCTGTGGCAAAGGGTAGTAAGAAGTTGCTGAAGGAGAGATAGGCACTAACAATGAAAACAAATAAATTGGCCACCTTGAAAAATTCCTTCTCCAGTTAAATTCAACTCTCTGGTTTGTCTGCAGCTGTATTTGGCTTAAGAAAAACATACAGGCAAGCTGACAGGTCTCAAACCAACAGTCATGGCTGTTACCCTCAAGTGGGTCGCCTATCCTGCCTGGTCATTCTCGCCCATGTTCTCCCTCACTCTTCTAGACAATTTGATACCTTCTCCTCCTCAAACCACTGATACCACCTACTCTATTCCAATAACTTACCTAATATTTTAATACTAGAGGCCCAGTGCATGAAATTGCATGAGACCCAGAGTCCCACCACACCGCAAGACCCATCAATGCATCTCCCGGTGACCGGTCATTTGGTCGTTATGGTGTTACAACGTTACGGTCACTGGCCTTTTATAATATAGATTTTCATAAAACTAAATTCTGCTGAGGTTATACTCCCCAAATGCCACAACATTCTTTCTAATGTTGTGGGGAGAAATATGGCATTATGGCACACTTTTTAAAAACATAAACATTACTAAGTAGGCCCCCATTGCTTTAAGGATAAAAATCAAATTTCAAATATATTGCAGTTGTCCAGGCTCCTTATCTACCCATGTTTCATGTCCCCAATATTTCTAGCATATCAACCACAGCAGTAATTGAATGCTTGCATATGGTAGCTACTCTGTAAATGTGTTTTTGATTGAAATATTTTTTAGATTTTCCATTTTTGCCACTTACTCTTCCAATTGTGTTCATAACACTGCCTCAAATAATATTCTATTAAAAGGAGTATCTCAGTGTTGTTCCAGTAAAACTGAAAGTAATCATCTTGCACCCTTGAAGGCAATAGTGTTGGTTCCAACACCTACTTCTTTGAAGGCCCTTTTCATCATCATTCAGCATTATCATAAATACTGATATAAGGCTGATTTTTATCATAGTCAGAATAGAGTTAAATGCTCTGGGCCTTTACTGGAGTTGAAGAGGTGGAAACAAGAAAGATCACTTGGGAATCATTCTTTATTAGCTTGATATAAACCACAGAATTAAGTACTGATTTACTTCTGATTCATTCTGAGCTAGAGATCTATGGGTGGAAGCAAAGAATGAAAAACACAACCAAAATAATTATCCCTACTAAAGAGCTGGCTGTAATTCAAATAGAACTGGTAACTAAGATGCTATCCAATGAGTTGAGAGGTGTCAGGAGAACTGGAACCCAACACATAGAGTCTTAGAGTTTTGGAAAATATCAGCGATGATCCAGTGCAAGTGCCCAGCCAGAGCGAGAGTCCCCTCTGTATCACCCCAGTCCCAAAACTTCTTTTACTTCCATCCTTTTAATCACTGGAAACTGGCTCCTTTTCTTCATTAGAACCCAGTTGTCATCAGAGTTTTCTTTCCTTATTTTTAAGTCAGGTCCCTGGAATTTCTACCATTGGGCCTAATTTTTTTCTTTTTTTTTCAATCTTTAATTTCTTTATTGATTAATGTATTACATATGTGACCTCATCCCCCTATAAACCCCCCATTGGGCCTAATTTTTGACACCTTAAGCTACAAAAATTGTAAATGAATGTCCTTGCTGTACAACACCCCCCTAAAACACTAGCACTCAGAAGTCTCATGTGTCCTAAGTCCTCTCTTAGTCCTACCTTTTTTGCAGATGGTCCCAGTATGCACATCTCTGAAGTTCTCTTCATTCCAGCTATCTCCTTCAGGGTGCAGAATAATTTCTCAGTGTGCCAAGGCATCAAGGCAATACTTAACACATGATCTGACTAATGAAGAATAAACAGAACATTTTTTATGACTTTTATTAATTAAAAAAAAATTTTTTTTTAGAGGGAGAAGGTAGGGAGAGGAAGAGAGAGAGAAACATCCATGTGAGAGTGAAACATGGTTGGCTGCCTCCTACACACCCCCTACCAGGGATGGAGCCTGCAACACAGGCATGTGCCCTGATGGCGAATCAAACCAGCAACGCTTTGGTGCACAGGATGACACCCAACCAACTGAACCACATGGGCCTGGGCCTGAACATTTATTTTCCATGACCTATTTTTCTATTATTGCAGCCTAATATCAGGCTAACTTTTTTAGCATCCACTTCACACTCTTGGTGCCTATTAAAAGCTTGTGGTCAATTATAATCCTCTGAATTTTCTTCTTCACATGAAGTGTTGCCAAAGTAGATATTTTTTTTCCATCCTGCATGGGTACCACAGTATGTGTTAATCCTAGACCCCCCTATGAATCACTGGATAATCAAGGACTGGTCGTGAACTTCACTCTATGAACTAGACATCGACTCTAATAATGCAAGTGCCATATGTAGGTACCATAGACAGCACCTGGTCCTCCTAAACATGTGCTCTTCTTCTAAAGAGCAGTCCATTTATAAACGCAGTCTTTTCCAAGGACCTGAGGTCACCAGGTGATTTACCTTTCTAGAAGCTAATTTTTATCCACAACCTTCCCTTTCTCTTATAAAGTACATTCACTCTAATCCCTGCTCCCACCAATTAAATACACACCTGATTAATTTTCTTTCCTCACACCAAGATTGATTGAGCTCTTGATTAAAAAAAATAACCACACACACGCACAAAATCAAACCTCCCCCCGCCTTCCATTGCCCCCGGCTGGTGTGGCTTAGTGGTTGAGCATCGACCTACCAACAGGAGGTAACAGTTCGATTATGTCAGAGCACATGCCCGGGTTGCAGGCTCAATCCCCAGTGGGGGGTGTGCAGGAGGCAGCGAATCAATGATTCGCTCTCATCATTGAGGTTTCTATCTCACTCTCTCTTTTCCTCTCTGAAATCAATTAAAACACACACCAACAAAACAAAAAACAACTGGGCAGGTCAAGAAACCCAACTCCCCTCCTCCAACCAGAGCTCCGCCCCCTGCCCGGGGTAGCCTGAAGTTGAAGGCCAAAGAGGGAGAGGAGGACTCACACTGCTGCTGGGGCGACAGTGCAGGCTCAGCTGCTTCAGCCAGTGGGACTGCAAAGGGTCACTCTAAAAATTGCTGCTGGGACTTGTCAGGTGGCTGCTGGTGGCTCCCCTTCTCCCTTCTCTCCCCACAGATTGCTTCCCAAGAGGAGTCTGCTGCTGACACTTCATCATCACAAGTCGGGGACGCCACTCAACACAGGAGGGTAAGGAGCTGGGGCCACACTCTCCAATTCCTGTCTTCCCGATTCTGGGGGTGTGTGGCCCTGTGGGTGGGAGAGGGTGGCGTGTCTGAGTGTTTGCAGAGCGATTTCACTGAAGGCGCCTGCAGCTGGGTCAGATCGCCCAGGTCCCTGATTTGAATTGGGGAACCAGAAGCCATTTTCTTGAAATCGAAGGAATGTGATACATTAGGCAAAGGTCCTACATAGTCATAGAAATTCATGAGAGGATGCTTTAGAATAGCAACATTACTTGTAATTTCTAACAATCATTTTAAGTCTCTAAAGTCCGATGTATGTTTTTTCTTCCTCTATTTTATAGAAAAAAAAGATGGGGAAATTAAAATTTTTAGTTTTGTTCACAGAGCTTAACATTTCTTCTCCATTTTTTTAAAAATCAGGAACCAGGTACACATTTGGTACCCAATAATTTTAGATAAAATTAATTCATTGTAATGATATTGGTAGCAAAAAAAAAATTAGGAAACTTTTCAAATTCCCAGAAATATAACCTATTGACAAAATAGAACACCCCCCCCCCCCCCCGCAAAAGTAAACAAATTTGTAATTTAACTGTAAAACAAGTTTTTGTTCTAAATGTGCACATCCGGTTATACGGACATAGGTTTTAGATGAGAAATGTTGGAAATGAAACGGTAAAGTGGGAGCCCCACCCCCACCCCCCTTTATGCTGGACTTAACTTAAAATGGCAAGCAGCAGGGCCTGAGCCCAGCGTTTCTATTCCGGGAGTCGGTGCTGATGAGCCGGGACAGATGCAGCGCTTGGAATGTGGCTGGGACCGGGAGCTGGGGCAGCTGATTCGCCCCTTTGGCTGGGAGACATGCTGGGATCCCAGCTCGCTCTGGCATGGGAGTGACAGTGACACTTTAGCACACATGGCTTTTCCGCCTGCCCTGGGTAGTCGCTCCCTGGAGGCCAGGGTGGAGGGCAGCGGGAAAAAGAATGTTCTTAAATATAAAGTGACAATTCTTTGCTATAATCAGTCCTAGGAGCTTTTCATCTGAGATCTCTTTCAGGCCAGGAGGAACTTGATTTCAAGGGTGATACGTTCACATGGACTTGCCCACTCGTAGAAGAGGGTAGAATTATGTTACCCGTTTCGTGGCAGCATCGTGGTTCTGGGTCTGTTTTGGGTTGTGGACCTTTTTGAGAACCTCGTGAATGCTTTGGGCCCAAGCTACAGAAAAATGCACATAAACACACACGCACAGCCTGTTTCATAGTATTCCCGAAAATGTCATGGAATGCACGGACTCACCAACCCAGATAAGGTTGCTAGATAAAATACAGGACACCCAGGCACATTTGAATTTCAGATAAATCATAAACCAGTTGTTAGTATAAGTATGTCCCAAATATTGCATGGGATATACTTATACTAAAATATGATTCGTGCTTTATCTAGAATTCAGATTTAACTGGAAATCATGTGTTTTTATTCGCTAAATCTGGCTACCCAGACGCATATGTGTGACTTCCAGGTGAAGTATCCCCTGTCTCGGTTGGATTATCCATGTGTGAGTCTATTCCTACATTCTAGAAGGCCATATTGGGGGAGGGGGGGAGTGGAGAAGTCATACAGGACCAGACTTTGGCAATTCTGACAGCAAAACCCAGTGTTTATTCTAACTCTGTGTAAAATTTTAGAACTGGAAGGTACCCATCTCCTCATTTGGCAGGTGGCTAACCTGAAATCCTAAAAGGTTGGGTGTTTTGCTGCAGGTTCATCGGCTGGTTAGAGCAAAGTGAACACTAAAACCCAATTTTCAGTTCTATGACAACCAGAGACATTAATCTTAGAAACTATATATCCAATCCTCCCTCCCACCCAACAATCTCCTCTCCCCAACCTTAAACACATACAGCAGACTAGGAAAGAGAAAGAGCTATTTTAGTAAAATTTTCAACTAAACCACAACCAAAAACTTTAGCACTGGCTCCTTGCATAGTGTATCCAGGGTTGGAAAATAGAAATTAACTTGATGTGTAAAGTCTGTATACTTTATCAGTAAGAGTTAGGCAAAGGCCTCTAGCTAAGTTGAACCATAAAAAATTGATACTCTTTGTCTTTAAACAAAAATTGATAATTCTATATTCAACCTAACACAAGGAAGTATTTATTCTCTGGTCAACAAATTCATAGAACCTGTTTCTATTTTTGGCTTATCCACCTATTGGAGTTTCATATCTTTTTTAAAAGTATTATTAATTTCAGAGAGGAAGGGAGAGGGAGAGATAGAAACATCAATGATGAAAGAGAATCATTGATCAGCTGCCTCCTGCATGCCCCCCACTGGGAATTGAGCCCGATACCCAGGCATGTGTCCTTGACCAGAATCAAACCCGGGACCCTTCAGTCCACAGGCCCACGCTCTATCCACTGAACCAAACCAGCCAGGGCTGGAGTTTCATATATTTACTACCCCTAATAGCATAACTAAATCCACAGACTCTGTTTGTCCGAAAATAAATGTATCTTACATTTAAAAGGGCAATGCATTTATTTCAATGTTTGGAGCTATAAAGAACCATTTCATGTTCTCTGTATTCAAATTTTGAATTGATAAATCTCAGTCCTACCTCACTCAGTCTCTATCTTCTCATGTTGGAAAGAGCTAACTTTTTAAACTGCTACAGATTTTAACCTGCCCTGGGTTTACAGGAGGCAATAGAGGGGGTCAGGGTTCAAACTGGGTTTGATTGTGACCTTGTGTGACCTTGAGTACATTTTAAAAACTCTCTCTGAACTTTAATTTCTTCATTTGTAAAATGAATTTAATATAAACTACATTTTAGGATTTGGTGAGACTTAAATTCAAAAAAATAAAATACTCAGGGCTCAGCACACAGTAAGCCCTCAATTAATAAATGCTAGCTATATAATTATTATTCTAGGTAGAAATGGAGGTAACAATTTACATTTGATTCATCATATAGATTCATGCTCGATAATTTATATATAGGAATTATTTATTAACATACTTAAAGTTGGAAAACACAAAAGATGATGAAAATTGTGATGGCTCACATAACTGCCCAGCTATTTATTGGGTGTTGAATATATGACATGTTCGTCATAGAAATGACACAAGAGCCAAGATCTGCAGTGGGCAGTGGCAGGAGAGCATAGAATTGCATCTCTGTTACCCTTCTGCCCAGTTTCTAATGGAGGAGACCCAAGAAGCTGCTCTAGGTGATAGTGGATGGAGCAGAGAGGGGAGGAGGCTGTGGTGTCCATGACCAGAGAAGGAGAATTCTGTGGGTGCCCTCCACAGAATGAAGGGATAGCCCTGTAGCAGGGGGAGCCTTCTATAGCCCTCTGCACCCTGGGTAAGGCTCTTCTTTCACTCAAAAAAGGGAAGGGACAGGAAGGGACTGGAAATGCCTCCAAATGGCTGCTTGTCCCATTACACAACCTCAGCTGCTGTGGTCAGACCAATTCTTTCCACCATAGTAGGGGCTGTGTGAAAAGCGCAAGCCACTAGAAGTCCGGGGAGGGGTGGAAGGTGGAGGAGGGCTCTGTATTGATCTTCCTCTCTTTGACTCCAAGAGGCAACTCATTAGAGTCCGCTGGGTTGGGAAGGAGAATCAAACCCTTTGTGCTTTGGAGAAAACAGAGACCCAGTCTTAAAACTCTTCCAGCCACGGGCAGCTCAGCAAGGCTTTCCTCCTCACCATCCTGATCATAACCCCAGTCAAATCCATCCCTTGGGTATGGTAACCATGGTGATTGCCCTGGCTACCAAGCCTGGAGATTCCCTGAACAGATGGCCACAAAGCAGTCACTTGTTAAAAAAATAAAATAAATAAAAAACAACAATGATAATTAAAACCCCTTCTAATTCTTAGTTAATATATAATTGAATCAGTAAGAATGAAATGCTTTCAGAATTTATTACTCAATATCTAGGCTATGCTCTAGGTTATATATGAATATATACATCATTTTTGTAACCTTTTTCTTGCAGCCACATTTTTACTATCATTGTGACCATCATTAGTGACCACTAATAATATGACCCAGGGGTGCAGAGTGAACATTTGTATAATTGTAGGAAAAACAGTGAGAGTTACTGTACAAATTGCTTTTGACTGCATGCTCACATATGACCTAGTGACTGAGTAATACTTTTTTTGTAAATATCCAGGTATTTTCCTATTCAGCTTCTATCAGCCCATAATATCAGCCTCAAAGCCCAGCACCATCACCAAATGAGTAAATAGAAGTGAATTAAATTGTTCCACTTGACTTTCACACATCTACTCCTAGGCTGTCTTTCATAATTTCTTCCTTTTAAGCTTGCCCTTGCTCTTCATTTAAATGTGATTGTGGAAAAATGCTGGTTGATCAAGTGGCATGGTGAATGTGTGTTTGTGTGTGTGTGTGTGTGTGTGTGTGTGTGTGTGTACCCAGTGTGACATGCCTTGTGTCTGTACTCTCCAGAAAGGCCCAGTATGAGGGGCCTACAGAATTCTTGAGGGCTTCTCTGTCTGCTAGTGAGAACAGAGCCTCTTGGGTTTGATCCCCCATAATGAGGAAGCCAGTCTTCTCTGCTGTAGGGCCCAGAGCACACAGTGCAGCTGCCCTTACCATTCTTACTGGCTTGCAATCCTTCAATTGAGAAAGGCGGTAGCTGGAGCCCCAAGTGGGCTGAGGGAAATGGAAGAGCAGGGCCGGTGGAAGAGCATTTACCAGGCTATCGCAGCCAGTGAACATCTCTGCAGCCTGGAGGACATCAGAGCTTTTCCAGCTTCAAAGAAGTGGCCCTGATCCTCAGACTCCACTGAGGGATCTGCAGTGACCTTATTGGAGGGACATGGCACAGACTGAGAACACCTGGGCAGGTGGATGGACAGCTTCACCCTCAAGGTGCGAACTTAGGAATAGAATGTCATGGTAGCCTAGCCGGCATGGCTCAGTGGTTGAGCATCGACCTATGAACCATGAGGTCAGGGTTCAATT